AGTCACCGGGATCTCCTCAGCACTCGCTATCTCGGGTCTATACGGAGCCTTCCACATGATTGCTTTACTCTCTTGCACTGAGTCTACGATCAGTCCGATCTCTTCAAATTTCTTCTTCAGCTTCTCTTCATGGTTGACATACACCGAGGAGATGCCCAGGAGAGTCATGGAGATGAAGGAAGTCACCTCGTTGCCTGCTGAGGCGGTGTATGTCTCGACCTTCTCCTTCTTGGCTTCTTCAATCTGCTGCATAAACCACTCTCTGGATGCGTCACTCCATCCAGTCATCGCTTCTTGCAGAAGCTCACGTCGTGCCTGCTGACATGTCGAGCGGATGGCTTCTGCGATAGCGTCGGGGGTGCATCCCTCCACAGCCTTGCAAGCCTGGGCTGTCCTGCTGTTCGGATAACGCTTCGCGAAGCTCTTCACCCTCTCGACGAGATCAGCTTCGAGGACAGAGGCATCCACAAGTCCGCTCTGCGTGTATTGGCATGATCTCCGATACAGCAGGTTGCGAACATTTTCATCATACTGAAGAACCATACTTAGAAAGCTATTTGAAGTATACAAACCTCTCGCTTGCAGCTTCCTTGGCGCCCTGGCGGCTTCCCCTACACCTGGCAAGGAGCCATGCTGCCGAAAATAACGGCGCCTCTCTAAACCCTAAACCCTAAACCCTAAACCCTAAACCCTAAACCCTATTATTATTATTATTATGTGAGTTTATTAGAATGCTAGAATGTTGCTCGGCCTCGTTGTGGGCTTATGCAATTTGATCCTAGTCTAAAGAGGCGCTCGAGCACTGGGAGTACACGGCCTACAATGCGAACCCTGCTTCTGAGGCGTCTTTCTACTTTCTACTTCTGCTGTCTTCTCTTGGCTTCCTCAGCCTCAGTCAGGAGAGTTGCCTCTCCTCACCTTGGCCTTCGGTCGCCACCTACTCTACCTCCATTCAGCTTCCTCAGCCTCAGTCAGGAGAGTTGCCTCTCCTCACCTTGGCCTTCGGTCGCCACCTACTCCTCCTCCATTCAGCTTCCTCAGCTCAGTCAGGAGAGTTGCCTCTCCTCACCTTGGCCTTCGGTCGCCTCCTACCTTCTCTCCTTACCTTGGGCTCAGCTCAAGCTCGGTACGGGCTCGCCCCGTCTTCTTCCTCGCCCTCGCCTTGCTCTTCCTCCACTGTCTTCCTCTTCTTCGTCATCTTCCCTCATCTCCACCCGCAGTCGGTCCTTCTTGTCCACCTTCAGCGAGCAGGCCAGCACATGCATCTCTGCGAATTTACTCAGTGCTATGAACAGGAAGCTAAGAGATCGACGCTCTATGTCGTCGCTCTCCGCCTCCTGCTCAAGCTCAGCAGCTGCCGTTGCCCGTGGCGAGAACGCGCTGCCCCTCCTTGCCTTCTTGCTCTCTCCTTGCACGCGAGTCCAGCGCTTGCTCTGCAGCCACTTCCCCAGCTTCTCCTTGAGAACGTTGCGCCCCACTCCCTGCTCCTCTGGCATCTTCGCCCACTCTCCCAGCGACATGAACTCCAGGCTCCCCGGAGAGTAGAAGGTGTCGTGGAGGTTGCCAACGGCCTTGTCCAGGACCAGCTTGATCGGCTCGCTCGTCCCTGCCTCGTTCAAAGAAGCTGCATCTTCGATGACTGCTGACAGCTCGCTGACGAGCTGCATGTCCTCTTGGCTTGACTGAGATGCTGCCTCCATTGTGATCCTCTCCAGGTCTGTAAACTCCAGCCACTCTCCCTCGCTCTCCTCCTGTCGCTGCGCTGCGTCGCTGGTGCCCCGCTGACCAGCCGCCTCAGAGTCAGGCTCCTTGTCGAAGCCGACTGCTTCGAGCTTGGTTGCTGCGCCTTCGAGATAGAAGGGCAGCTCCTTCATCATGCGTCGAGCATCCTCCGTGGAGCCGAGGAGGATGCATAGCTTGGACCCGTTCCAGGACTTGGTGTTCAAATCCTCCTCCATGTCGATGCCTTCAACGTTGATCTCGAGCCTGTTAGCGATCTCCAACAAGACTCTCTTGACTCTTGCGATAGACGTGTTGCCGCCGTTGCACAGCCCCTCCATCTCCTTCCTCGTGAAGCGACCAGATGCCGCCGTCGACTTGATGATGATCTTGATCTCCTTGCCGTCCTTGCCGCCTGCCTTCTTCTGCAGTCTTGATGCCTTCTTCAACTTATTTCTGGACACAAAGCGATCAGCTGTCAACTCGACTGCGAGCGCCTCTCTGATCTTCGGGTCCTCGCTGAACAGAGTCAGGTGTACTCCCTCCATCGCTTCGCTCTCTCGGAAAGCTCGAAATGCTGTATCATTCGCCTCTGGGCAGCTCGAGGAGACGATCCACTCCACCTCCCTCTGTCTCCAGATGACGTTGGCCCCTACAGCGATGAAGCCTTTCTGACCTAAGCCTTTGTGGACTTGCTGTCCTGGCGCCCCAGCGACCAGCATGCCTGCCAGCGGCTGGAGTTGGACCGCTGCAAGGGACTGGCGCAGCAGCTGATAGCGATAGACGGCAGCTATCTCAGCCGTTGTCATGCCGCCCAAGGTTAGCAGGTGAGTCAGCTCTGCCAAGCTGCCCCCTTTGCCCCAGGGTCCTCTCTTGGCTCGAATCTTGAAAGATCGATCGTGCACGATGCTCACATGTACAGCTGTGAACTTGCGACCATCGATCGCGAAGTCCTCTCTTCCCTGCCAGAGCTTCTCCGCTTGTGCATTCGCTATCTCGGGTCTATACGGAGCCTTCCACATGATTGCTTTACTCTCTTGCACTGAGTCTACGATCAGTCCGATCTCTTCAAATTTCTTCTTCAGCTTCTCTTCATGGTTGACATACACCGAGGAGATGCCCAGGAGAGTCATGGAGATGAAGGAAGTCACCTCGTTGCCTGCTGAGGCGGTGTATGTCTCGACCTTCTCCTTCTTGGCTTCTTCAATCTGCTGCATAAACCACTCTCTGGATGCGTCACTCCATCCAGTCATCGCTTCTTGTAGAAGCTCACGTCGTGCCTGCTGACATGTCGAGCGGATGGCTTCTGCGATAGCGTCGGGGGTGCATCCCTCCACAGCCTTGCAAGCCTGGGCTGTCCTGCTGTTCGGATACCGCTTCGCGAAGCTCTTCACCCTCGCGACGAGATCAGCTTCGAGGACAGAGGCATCCACAAGTCCGCTCTGCCGCCGTGTATTGGCATGATCTCCGATACAGCAGGTTGCGAACATTTTCATCATACTGAAGAACCATACTTAGAAAGCTATTTGAAGTATACAAACCTCTCGCTTGCAGCTTCCTTGGCGCCCTGGCGGCTTCCCCTACACCTGGCAAGGAGCCATGCTGCCGAAAATAACGGCGCCTGCTGCCGAAAATAACGGCGCCTGCAGGCTGCCGAAAATAACGGCGCCTTCTAAACCCTAAACCCTCAACCCTCAGCAAACCCTAAACCCTAAACCCTAGTAGTAGTAGTAGTAGTCGATTTTATTAGAATGCTAGAGTAGTCGCATCGGGTACCTTCCCGGTCTAGTCTAGTCTAAATGGGTTCTCACGCTTGGCAGAGCGGCCCTTCTTGGATGGCCCGTTGTGGCATCCAGGGTTCTATCGTTGTTTCGCTGTTTCTGTTGTTTCCATACTCCTCAGTTCCGAGCCGCCGGTGCGGCCGTGTCTCCTCCGGGCCCGGGTTGACGGTTTCAGTGTAACCGTCCACCTGTCCAGTTTTTGCGCTAAGTCCATGTCCCTTCCCCGCCTGCCGCCTGTGAAGCTTCCCCGTCAGTCTGTCCTTGTTGACCTTTCCCCTGTCGTCATCCATCTGTCTCCTGTGTCCTTGCCCCTTCCTTGCCATGTTGGTTGTTTTTCGCCTATGAGGCTTCACCTTCGGTCTGTCCGTTGACCGTTGCCCTTTCGTCTTCCATCTGTCTTCTGTGTCCTTGCCCCTTCCCAGCCATGCTGATCCTGGTTGCTAGCTTTTGAGGCTTCCCTTGTGATCTGTCCTCGTTGATATTTACCCCTTCATCTTCCAACCATCTTATATCCTTCATGCTTGTTCTCTCAGGCTGTTGGTCGTGTCTCCTCGTCTCCTTGAGGTCCACAGCATGTGTTGCACTTCGAGCAGCTGGATGACTATCTTGGTCATGGCTCTGTCATTCATATCCTCGTCCATGAGCAAGTTCCGGAAATTTGTGGTCCATTCCCGCTCCATAATACTGCCTCTCACTCCTGCAATGAACGTGGCTTGTATGACCTCTGTGTTGTCGCTCCTACTTGTCATCTCTGCCCGCAGTGCTGCATATTTCTGTTCTTTCTCCTGAAACTTTGCTTTCAGGTTTGCCAGACTGCTTCCCTCGCCCGTGAACTCTGAAGTTCTTGCTATCTCCACCAGCACAATGCGATTGCTCCCTCTGAAGTAGCAGAGCCCATCTGGTATAAGATTGCCGTGCTCTGGTGCAGTCAGTCCTAGCCCTGTCATAGAGTTGATTGGCGTTTGCCACCAACTCTCCTGTTCAACACTTTTCTTCTTCCAGCTTTCTGTCAGGCATCCCTTGATTGTCTCCATTACTCTGTTGTGTGCCAAAGCGATCATGAGCTCAAATTCTTTGCAGGCTAGCTGGATATGCACCCAGCTTTCTTCCCTGCCTTCGCACCATGGGCAACAGGGGGATGTCGTCTTCTTCCACTGGAACAGCTTTTTCCTCGTAGGTGCTGACCAGGTAATAGCTTGGATGGCTGTCCGAAGTACTGATCCTCGACACCTCTGTAAGGCTCGACCTAGGATCCTTCTGCCCACTTGTGGTTCCAGGAGAAAGGTTTCCGTCAAGGTAAGGGGGGCTTCTTTCCTCCTCCGTTCCAGTTGTTCTTCTCTGATTATCTTATCCCATATTTTCAGTCGATCCATCCCCGGCCATATTTTCAGTCGATCCATCCCCGGTTCAGTCGATCCCTCCCCGGTTCAGTCGATCCATCCCCGGTTCAGTCGATCCATCCCCGGCTAAACCCTAAACCCTAAACCCTAAACCCTCGAGCACTGGGAGTACACGGCCTACGATGCGAACCCTGCTTCTGAGGCGTCTTTCTACTCTCTACTTCTGCTGTCTTCTCTTGAATCTGCAATGCTATCCCTTTGCTGCAGCTGATTACCACGTCTACATCACGCTGATGGAAGCCATATACTTCCATGATTTTTGCGATGGATTCGACTGCCACGTTGTTAAAAAAGTTTGCAAAGTCGAGGTATAACAGGATGAGGGTGTGTTGATTGCTCTGAGCGGAAAATAACGGCGCCTCCTAAACCCTAAACCCTAAACCCTATTATTATTATTATTATTATGTGAGTTTATTAGAATGCTAGAATGTTGCTCGGCCTCGTTGTGGGCTTATGCAATTTGATCCTAGTCTAAAGAGGCGCTCGAGCACTGGGAGTACACGGCCTACAAAGCGAACCCTGCTTCTGAGGCGTCTTTCTACTCTCTACTTCTGCTGTCTTCTCTTGGCTTCCTCAGCCTCAGTCAGGAGAGTTGCCTCTCCTCACCTTGGCCTTCGGTCACCACCTACTCTACCTCCATTCAGCTTCCTCAGCCTCAGTCAGAAGAGTTGCCTCTCCTCACCTTGGCCTTCGGTCGCCACCTACTCTACCTCCATTCAGCTTCCTCAGCTCAGTCAGGAGAGTTGCCTCTCCTCACCTTGGCCTCCAGCGCTTGCTCTGCAGCCACTTCCCCAGCTTCTCCTTGAGAACGTTGCGCCCAACTCCCTGCTCCTCTGGCATCTTCGCCCACTCTCCCAGCGACATGAACTCCAGGCTCCCCGGAGAGTAGAAGGTGTCGTGGAGGTTGCCAACGGCCTTGTCCAGGACCAGCTTGATCGGCTCGCTCGTCCCCGCCTCGTTCAAAGAAGCTGCATCTTCGATGACTGCTGACAGCTCGCTGACGAGCTGCATGTCCTCTTGGCTTGACGGAGATGCTGCCTCCACAAGTTGTGATCCTCTCCAGGTCTGTAAACTCCAGCCACTCTCCCTCGCTCTCCTCCTGTCGCTGCGCTGCGTCGCTGGTGCCCCGCTGACCAGCCGCCTCAGAGTCAGGCTCCTTGTCGAAGCCGACTGCTTCGAGCTTGGTTGCTGCGCCTTCGAGATAGAAGGGCAGCTCCTTCATCATGCGTCGAGCATCCTCCGTGGAGCCAAGGAGGATGCATAGCTTGGACCCGTTCCAGGACTTGGTGTTCAAATCCTCCTCCATGTCGATGCCTTCAACGTTGATCTCGAGCCTGTTAGCGATCTCCAACAAGACTCTCTTGACTCTTGCGATAGACGTGTTGCCGCCGTTGCACAGCCCCTCCATCTCCTTCCTCGTGAAGCGACCAGATGCCGCCGTCGACTTGATGATGATCTTGATCTCCTTGCCGTCCTTGCCGCCTGCCTTCTTCTGCATCCTTGATGCCTTCTTCAACTTATTTCTGGACACAAAGCGATCAGCTGTCAACTCGACTGCGAGCGCCTCTCTGATCTTCGGGTCCTCGCTGAACAGAGTCAGGTGTACTCCCTCCATCGCTTCGCTCTCTCGGAAAGCTCGAAATGCTGTATCATTCGCCTCTGGGCAGCTCGAGGAGACGATCCACTCCACCTCCCTCTGTCTCCAGATGACGTTGGCCCCTACAGCGATGAAGCCTTTCTGACCTAAGCCTTTGTGGACTTGCTGTCCTGGCGCCCCAGCGACCAGCATGCCTGCCAGCGGCTGGAGTTGGACCGCTGCAAGGGACTGGCGCAGCAGCTGATAGCGATAGACGGCAGCTATCTCAGCCGTTGTCATGCCGCCCAAGGTTAGCAGGTGAGTCAGCTCTGCCAAGCTGCCCCCTTTGCCCCAGGGTCCTCTCTTGGCTCGAATCTTGAAAGATCTATCGTGCACGATGCTCACATGTACAGCTGTGAACTTGCGACCATCGATCGCGAAGTCCTCTCTTCCCTGCCAGAGCTTCTCCGCTTGTGCATTGCGGAGGAAGGAAACAGTCACCGGGATCTCCTCAGCACTCGCTATCTCGGGTCTATACGGAGCCTTCCACATGATTGCTTTACTCTCTTGCACTGAGTCTACGATCAGTCCGATCTCTTCAAATTTCTTCTTCAGCTTCTCTTCATGGTTGACATACACCGAGGAGATGCCCAGGAGAGTCATGGAGATGAAGGAAGTCACCTCGTTGCCTGCTGAGGCGGTGTATGTCTCGACCTTCTCCTTCTTGGCTTCTTCAATCTGCTGCATAAACCACTCTCTGGATGCGTCACTCCATCCAGTCATCGCTTCTTGTAGAAGCTCACGTCGTGCCTGCTGACATGTCGAGCGGATGGCTTCTGCGATAGCGTCGGGGGTGCATCCCTCCACAGCCTTGCAAGCCTGGGCTGTCCTGCTGTTCGGATACCGCTTCGCGAAGCTCTTCACCCTCGCGACGAGATCAGCTTCGAGGACAGAGGCATCCACAAGTCCGCTCTGCCGCCGTGTATTGGCATGATCTCCGATACAGCAGGTTGCGAACATTTTCATCATACTGAAGAACCATACTTAGAAAGCTATTTGAAGTATACAAACCTCTCGCTTGCAGCTTCCTTGGCGCCCTGGCGGCTTCCCGGAGGCTACACCTGGCAAGGAGCCATGCTGCCGAAAATAACGGCGCCTGCTGCCGAAAATAACGGCGCCTGCAGGCTGCCGAAAATAACGGCGCCTTCTAAACCCTAAACCCTAAACCCTCAGCAAACCCTAAACCCTAAACCCTAAACCCTAAACCCTAAACCCTCGAGCACTGGGAGTACACGGCCTACGATGCGAACCCTGCTTCTGAGGCGTCTTTCTACTCTCTACTTCTGCTGTCTTCTCTTGAATCTGCAATGCTATCCCTTTGCTGCCGCTGATTACCACGTCTACATCACAGTGATGGAAGCCATATACTTCCATGATTTTTGCGATGGATTCGACTGCCACGTTGTTAAAAAGTTTGCAAAGTCGAGGTATAACAGGATGAGGGTGTGTTGATTGCTCTGAGCGGAAAATAACGGCGCCTCCTAAACCCTAAACCCTAAACCCTAAACCCTAAACCCTTCCTCAGCCTCAGTCGGGAGAGTTGCCTCTCCTCCCCTTGGCCTTCGGTTGCTTCATACCTGTCCACCTTCAGCGAGCAGCCTCCAGCACGTGCATCTCTGCGAATTTACTCAGTGCTATGAACAGGACGCTAAGAGATCGAAGCTCGATGTCGTCGCTCTCCGCCTCCTGCTCAAGCTCAGCAGCTGCCGTTGCCCGTGGCGACTCGAAACGCGCTGCCCCTCCTTGCCTTCTTGCTCTCTCCTTGCACGCGAGTCAAGCGCTTGCTCTGCAGCCACTCCCCCAGCTTCTCCTTGAGAACGTTGCGTCCCACTCCCTGCTCCTCTGGCATCTTCGCCCACTCTCCCAGCGACATGAACTCCAGGCTCCCCGGAGAGTAGAAGGTGTCGTGGAGGTTGCCAACGGCCTTGTCCAGGACCAGCTTGATCGGCTCGCTTGTCCCCGTGTCGTTCAGGGAAGTTGCATCTTCGATGACTGCTGACAGCTCGCTGACGAGCTGCATGTCCTCTTGGCTTGACTGAGATGCTGCCTCCATTGTGATCCTCTCCAGGTCTGTAAACTCCAGCGTCGCTGGTGCCCCGCTGACCAGCTGCCTCAGGCTCCCTGTCGAAGCCGACTGCTTCGAGCTTGGTTGCTGCGCCTTCGAGGGAGAAGGGCAGCTGCTTCATCATGCGTCGAGCGTTACAGCCTTGCAAGCATGAGCTGTCCTACTCTGCGGCCAGGCCCTAGCAGAGGCCCTAGCAGAGCACGTGACAGGAAAGACTGGGATAGACTAGGTCAAGGTAGACTAGGTTTACTTGAGGTAAACAAGTCAGACTGTGACTATCGCGCCTCATGACGAGCTGAGACGAGCCAACAATTCATAGCTCCTGCTGGCTGATCTTGTACTAGTAAATCTTGTAGATGCTCGTCGCGCTCGAGCGACACATCGGGCATGGCCTCGACGTCGCTCCCTCCTTGCAGTCCTCACACAAACACTTGTGACCACAGGGGATGAGCGCCCATTCAGCTCTTCGCTCCAAGCAGACGACGCATTCCTGGCCGCGATCTCCGACGGCTTCGTCGTACTGCTCCTGAAGCAGCTGCTGTAGCTGGCTGAAACTTGGTCGCTCGGTCTTCTTCTCCTTCCAGCATTTTTGCATGATGGAATAAACGTTAGGCGGGCATGCTGAAGGAGCCGCAAGTCGCTCGCCATCTACAACCTTGGGTCCCACTTCAGCGTCATTTGTGATTTCCCAATAAGGCACTTCTCCGTAAGTCCAGACCTCCCACATGGTCACCCCGAACGCCCACACGTCGCTCTTCTCCGAGTACTGCCTTCGTCTTATGCTCTCCGGCGCCATCCACCGGACGGGCCGAGCTGTCGAGCCTGCCGTGCTCACGCACCCGGCCCTACTCTCCCCGTACCCGCGCGAGGCCATGATGGACAGCCCGTAGTCGGCTATCTTGACGCTGAGAGCCAGGTGATCCTCCGGGTCTAGGCTGAACACAAGCACGTTCCTCGCCGCCAGGTCCCGATGCACAACCTCATGCAGCGACAGCTGCACCATCCCGTCACAGATCTGCCTCGCCACCTGCAGCTGCACCAGCAGACTCATTGTCTCCTCCTCCTCGGCGAAGTTGGACAAGATCACATCGAGAGAGCCTTTGGAAGCAAACTCAGTCACCAGGCAGCAGTCGCCGGAGCTCGGCTCGATGCTGGTGGCGAGAAGGCGAAGGAGATTGGGGTGACGGCCCAGCTCGCGGAAGATCTTCACCTCCTGGTCGAACTCTTTTCTCCTCCTAGTGCCTCCGCTGCCACTGATTCGCTGGATGGCAACCTCAGCGCTGCTGCCATGCGGATGCTGCCACCGAGCCCTGTAGACGAGCTTGGAGGAGCCTGAGCCGATCTGCTGCAGGCCCGTGAAGGACTCGAAATTCCACGATGGGATGTGACCCAACTGAGAAAAAAATTGGCTCGGAAAGGGATTCGCACATCGAGATACAAGACATGGCACAAAAGACCTGGGAAGCAACGTCGTGCTCCTCCCTCTCCTTGCGCTGCTGCTCCTCCCTCTCCTTGCACTGCGAAAACAAAACCAGGAATTTTCAAAATAAATGTCAGTCCAATCAAATCAAGGATCGAAAGTATCGATACTTTCGATCCGATGCTTGATTCAACTTCACTTGAATTGCTGTTGGGTTGAATCGAGCTCTGCTGTACTGAATTGGAGGTTGCATCTTTAGTGTCTGGAGTTGTTTGTGATTGCGATGGCATGTTAGATGCATTTCCACCAACGTTTGATACTAGTACAATGTCTCTGTTCTCTTTCACTTTGAAAAGGGATTTCTTCTCACGCTTTGGGGGAATTTGCCGGGCAACTGGACGATCAACATGAGGCATGACTGGACTTTGAACATCCTGGCGGTTTTGATACGCTGCAGCTGCTTGCATCGCCGCCATCTGATTCCAGTACATTTGAAAACCAGGCGATAAAGCAGAACCGGGCATGCCCGAGGTTGCATCTTTAGTGTCTGGAGTTGTTTGTGATTGCGATGGCATGTTAGATGCATTTCCACCAACGTTTGATACTAGTACAATGTCTCTGTCCTCTTTCACTTTGAAAAGTAATTTCTTCTCATGCTTTGGGGGAATTTGCCGGGCAACTGGACGATCAACATGAGGCATGACTGGACTTTGAACATCCTGGCGGTTTTGATACGCTGCAGCTGCTTGCATCGCCGCCATCTGATTCCAGTACATTTGAAAACCAGGCGATAAAGCAGAACCGGGCATGCCCGAGGTTGCATCTTTAGTGTCTGGAGTTGTTTGTGATTGCGATGGCATGTTAGATGCATTTCCACCAACGTTTGATACTAGTACAATGTCTCTGTTCTCTTTCACTTTGAAAAGGGATTTCTTCTCATGCTTTGGGGGAATTTGCCGGGCAACTGGACGATCAACATGAGGCATGACTGGACTTTGAACATCCTGGCGGTTTTGATACGCTGCAGCTGCTTGCATCGCCGCCATCTGATTCCAGTACATTTGAAAATCAGGCGATAAAGCAGAACCGGGCATGCCCGCTGCCATATTGGGATTCACGTTCGCATTGGGGCCTGGTGCGATTCCCGGGGACATGCCGGTAGGGATCGGTGCAGCAGCCATGCACGGATTCATATTTGCTCCCATGTTAGCAGTCGGCACATGAGACGTCATCTGGTGACTATGCCCCTGGGTTGTTGGAACAGTAGGTCTCGCCGGTATAGCTTGAGGTCCAGGAGGCTGCCCTGGACCCGATTCTAGACTAGGAAAGCCCGGTGAAGTCATGTGCTGCCGCATCATGGCTCCAACGCGGCTTCGTGATTGTGCGTTCATCGAAGCACTTGACAAAGCTGAAAGGAGTCATCACTTATTTACCAGTCTGCAGAAAAAGTAACAAAACCTGTTGTGTCTTGATCAGGTGAATCGGGGCTATCGGAAAGTGCAGGCGCTGTTTCATAAGGCTGTACATGGTTTGGAATTTGATTTGACCCATTCTTCTGCGAGCTCATGTTTGGTTGCTGCACAATGATTCCTTCAGGGCCTGTCAAGATGGTGAATACTTTGAGGTCAGACGAAATGGTCAGATAATGGCTCACCAGGTCTGGTATGTTGTCCCCCCTCCCCCCGCTGCAGAATGGAACCAAGGAGGCAGAATAGAGTCAGTAAATTATCGTGCAGATGGTGTCATGGCAAACATCATTCTTGGCATTTCTTTGCACAATTCAGCACACCAGGAAGCAGGTTGAGACATTGGCTCTACCCGCCTCGGTCTCACACATGCTCCACATCGTACAACACAACGGTTCAAGGAAAGGGAATGAAAATGTTTTCGATATGTACAAAGCAGTACGATAGATTCCTCTACAAATATCACAAAATAATGTGACCACCAGCATGACCTCGACCTCTGCCGCCTCTGCCTGCCTGCACGCGGCGCCTTGGCCAGGGAAGGCTCCCCTACCACCTCCCCCCATACGCCTGGAGTACCGGTAGTGCCAGCCTCCGGCCCACCCTGATTCGGGAATCCTTCTTGAACTCCTCCTCCTCCCCGTCCCCCTCCCCTCCTCGTCCCCCTCCTCCTCCCCCGGCGCCGCCGCCGCCACTTCCATTGCGCGGCAGCTCCTGCCTTTCTAGAGTCCTTCCTAGGACCTTGGCAGTATATACTAAGACCCTACCCCCTCAAAGGTTATATCCGAGGGGTGAAATGCACAAGGACGAGGGGTGCTGGTAGATCACATGACACTGCTTTTTAACTTAACTTTGAGTAAAGAAAGGACAGGGGGTCCATTCAGTGGTGGGATCTGGTCAATTTTTCCTATTGAATCATTATAACAAAACCACCCGAGCACTAAACGACCCCCCTCAAAAGTGACAATTAATTTTTATGGCGCAATCCCTATATAGGAGGAAGCTCCTGGAACATAGGTATATCTTAGGTTTTTGAGTAAAGATTTACTTAATTCCTTAATTCAAAAACTTGAAAAAATTTCCAAGTGTGGCGCAATGGTGGCGTTATGGACGCTTTGTATCGGCTTCTGCGTCTTTTCCATGCATATACTCATTGATTGTTGCTATGTGTTGTTGTTCAATCATTCCTTTGAACAAGTATTGAATGTATGTATGCATGAGATGGTGATGATGAAGAGGAGGTGGACGAAGACAAGGAGGAGGAGGTGGTGGAGCCTGGAGGAGATGGACGTGGAGGAGATGAAGATGATGATGACGAGGACGTTAGGAGGATGAGGTGGTGTGGTGTTGGATGTGTAGGTGATGAAGATGATCATGAGGATATGGAGGTGATGAAGATGGTGATGAGCATGAGCATGTGGAGGTGATTACACATATCTCACTCTAGCAATTTTTCATTCACGTTATCTAGTATCGCAGGAAGGTTTTACCATCGCGATACTGTAAGTTAGTTCTTATGTTCTCCATTAACCCTCATTACAGCTTCTATCTATCCTGCTCCTCTTTCGTGTTCTCTCGTTCTTTCTGAGCATGTCTACCACTGTCAACCAACATAACAGACTGAAGTTCGACACGTCCTCTTGCGTCGGAATGGCACCTGTCACCCTCTGATACTGCTCAAACAAGTAATTTTCGCAATGGTCGAATATGAAATCAGCCTCTCTGCGATCGGGGTTGGCCTTGTAGATACCCAGAGCGCTGGCTTCGGCATCGATCATTCTCACCATGAAATTCAGGTCAGAATGTCTCTTCCCATCAGATTTCGTAGGGAAGTCTATACCTCTCATGGACTTGAATGGAGGTAGCTTCGTATCTGCGTGTCCGAAATGATAAATCATGTACATGCTTCTTGTTGTGTTGCCACCCCACTCAAACTTGCACTCGTCCACTTGGCTGCTTGTGCCCGCCCCACTCCCGCTTGGCATGGCGGCCACGCTTCCACTTGCCGGGCCAGTTTGTGCTGATATTGAGTCCATTGCACTTCCTCCATAGATGCTCGTTGGCATCGGCATCCCGGTTCCCGCTTCATCTTGAACCTGCCGTATCTCTGTATTGCTCACACGCCCGTGCTCCGTTCTGATCAGAATTGTATCCATCTTCTCATTGAATCTGTTCTGAGCTTCAAGTAAACGACTTTGCGAATCCAACATCCGACTTTGCGAATCTAGAACATTCTGAACGAAGTCTCCACTGACCGTCACTGCATTCACCCTACCATCACGGCTGTTCTTGCATACAAAAACTCAATGAAATGAGCCATATGCCCGTGATACATTTTTCGTGTGCTGTCAGCTAGATTGTTGTTCAAAATATCTTCCATATCGCGTCTTAATCGTTCTGAATCCTCCAATCTTAGCAATTCTCGACGTGAAAGGGCAGCATTATGAGCCTGGGGTACTGGCTGTGGAGATCTAAGACTCGAATCTTGAACTGATATTGCTGGAACTGCCTGAAGCTCTGACGCTCCAAAGGCCTCTGCGGCTTGGGGGGCTTGGGGGGCTTGGGGGGCTTGGGGGGCTTGGACGGCTTGGGCGGCTTGGGCGGCTTGGGCGGCTTGGGCGGCTTGGGCGGCGGCAGATGCTATTTGATTGCATTCTGCCTGTCCACATTCCCCTGTTCTTTCATACTCGTCCATGTTACTAGCACAAATCGCATGGAAAAGACGCTTGCAGCGGCTGCATACTTCCAAAGGACATACTTCGAAATGCTCAGGAAGTACCTTGCACAGGGAACCGCTTTCTCTGCCGCCAAACAAGCATCGCCCGACAGATATTGCTCCCTGCATGGTGGGGCTACAGAGTAGTACCACCCTGGAACTCCTAAAATATTTCATTACAATTTTCTCTGAGGGGAACTTGAGTATACTATAACTTGTATTGAAATTCCGATATGAGTAACAAATCAATTCCAGATTATGCACGTGCTTCATTCTCATGCACGTTCACATATGCCTTATGACGTACGAAAAGGACCCACCTAAGGTCATATACTCCTACAAACACGCCTAGTGCTCCCGACTCGTACCTAAGTTGCTAAGTTGTTTCCTTTATTTCAGCCCTCTTGCCTCGGCATGCTTGGTAAGAACGCAACATGCTAGGGAAAGATCAGCCCCAACTGATAAACAGAAGCAAGAATACAGAGTGAATAAATTCCAAAGGAATGGTCAAGATCATTACGTTAGAACAGCAGACAAGCACTTCCTCATAGCTTGACAAGATTGTGATGGCTATTGTACATGATGAAATTCGTGGACAGGGATTCGAAGGGGGCCTCTCACCTCTTTCCTACCACGGAGCATCCAGGCAGCATGCAAAAGGCAATTTTCTGATGTTTCAAATGAGGTGATTCGGAGAAAATACAAGCGGTTGTGATGAGATGCTGGCAACAGGACGGAAATGTGACCGATCAGAATTACGATCTCTACAAGGTACTGGGGGTTTCCAAGTCATCAGAACTGTACACAATTAAAGGAGCATACATAAAGAAGGCTGCATTATGGCATCCTGATCGCAATGCACACACGCCAACACTTGCAAGGTCTTTGCATGACTCAGCGATTCCTATTTCTAACATTTTATTGTGGATCGTTGGGTGTGGTGATCAGAAAGAAATTTCAACAAGTACAGAACGCTTTCGCAATTTTATCAAACGAGGACACTCGCAGGTCAGATTAATATGTGTTTATGAACATTGAATCTAATTTCTTACACTTTCCCAGACAATATGACAGGGGTGAATTCAAATTCATATCTGATTTATTGAGGCAGAAAGATTCTGGAAGGAACACAGGATATTAGAACGGAAACACTGCAGGAGCAGTTCGACATTAGATCAAAGTAATGAAGTCGAGAACTATAACAAACGAATGGGCTTGTCGTAATAATGGTTGTCAAACTCTCAAGCGCCATCACGCTAGCCTTGTATCAGTCTTCCTGTTACTCTGCTTGAGCTTATCTTCTGCTCTCTACATGAATGTGGACTTCAGTTTGGAAATGCCTAAAAGCTTTCGGTAAAATGCTGAAAACCTTTTGCGAGCCCTAAATTACCTATAGACTCACTGGAGAAAGCAATTACAGTGTTCTTAGCAAAATACCGGTATCATATCTAAATATTCTGCAGGAGAAAGTAACTTTGACACTCTAGGCTTTCCGAAAATTGATTGATAGAGAAAGAGAAGAAAAATTCGAGAAATCATGGAGAAATCTGCTTCAAAAAAATGTCTCTGAATCGCTGATGTACCCTCTTGGAGCTCTCCACGGCCGAGAGAGACCTGCTGAGGCGACCGCCGTTACCATACCGGACACATGCGACCTGCCTGTAAGCACTTCTCTCTACTGACAATGATCCCTTGTGAATTTATGCTGTGTAGCGTTTGTCGGACTTGAGTGGTCCATTCATATACTTCAGTCTGCATGAGGTTTGCTTGCTCTGCTTCAATTCTTATCTGACTTGAAATTCCAGATTGCACATCTCCGGGACGTCGACATGATTCTACGTATCAACTTGAATGATTACACGTACTGGTGCATTCCATTTGGAAGAACAAACAATGATTGCGATGGAAACACTAGAACTGTGATCGAACCTCGATCCCTCTCAGCTGCTGACGTGCAAGGTAGGCTCAAGTCCAGCTACCCCTCCTCCATGATGGAATCAGCTATGTCGCCGTCACTTGCTCCATTCCAGACTTTAGATCAGCAGATGGGAGCTGCAGAGAGCTCCTGCTTGGAACCCGAGGATATCTTTTAGCTTTCTCATCTGCCCCCTGTACGGTAAGCAGCCGAAAATGATTTCTCTTCCATGAATTCACCTGCTTCTTTGGCATGAAGCGAATGATACTTGATTCCAGACAGGTTTTAAGCTCCAGCTTTCCAACATCTGTATGATTCAGTCTTCGAACCTCTCGTTACCATGTGCAGTTTGTCGAACGACTATTCACTCTTCTGGAGAATTCTGTCAGAGCAAGAATGAACTTCAACTTCGTGAAATCTTTTCAAACTTCAAACCAACGTGAGTCCTCAAATCACAGACTCTTTCTTACATTTTTTTTACAGATACGTGGAAAACTTTTTGAACTTCAGCTTTGAGAACGCTAACGGCCGCCCTGATGCCGCAGCCGCGGCCGATTGCGGACAGTAGCAGAGTTCGGTGGACTCAGTCCGAGCGGCTCAGTGGCTCCGGGCGGCCGCCTTCCGTAGCCATCGGCTGTCAGAGGGCGAGCCAGTGGGAACTTGACACTTCACGGCAATCAGCCTGTGCGGTCACCGGACACGCCGCCCCGGCGCCGGGCGTGCCCGGCGGCCGCGCCAGGTCACTGAGTCAGCGCGTAATTGAAACTTGAAAGTAAACTCACACACGGTAGTAATCGCTGTAATTGAGGCATGACGGTCACCGGGTTCTGCCGCCACCACCCCTTCCGATCGGATCCGAGTGCGATTCCGAAGTTCGGCCGCGGCGAGCCGCCGGGCCCGGGCCGGGGGCCCCGCCGCCGCCTGGGCGGGCCCGGCAGTTATTCGTAGACGACCGTTACTCAAGAACAAGGAGTAATAACGCGAGAGGATCTCCAGCAGGAGGGTACTAGGGCCTATTACACTGATAATGGGTCTAGGTGTGATAGGGTATGGTGGTATCTACTCTTACGGACCGTGAGGGTGGGTACGGAAAGGGTGGGTTGTAAACAACAAAAGAGATGGAATCGGGTGGGTCGTGGTATTGAAAAAGGGGGTGGGGAGGTAAAGTAGTAGAGGACATGGGGTGGGCCTTCAAAGTAGGTGGTAGTAGGGTAGCTTGAAATTTAGGGTAGATGCAGGACTGCCGTCGCGTTGGCAAGGCAGAGAGAATGAATGTAGGATAGTGAAAAGACGAGAAACATGCAAAGAAATAATTGAGAAATGCGTAGAATAAGAGAAAAGACTGGGAGATGTGTAGAATAAGAGAAAAGGCTGGGAGATGTGTAGAATAAGAGAAAAGGCTGGGTGACGTGTAGATTAAGGGGAAACTGCTTGGACAAGGAAATATCTTGATAAGAGACAGAGTGGAACTTGAAGTCTCTCGAACTTGTTCTTACCGTAGAGATGTTTTTTAAACATTATTTCGTTGAAATTATGTTATGACAAAGTTCTGATTTTTTTCTTTCTTCAGCCAAAGAGGAATGATGGCAAATGGAAATTCTGCATTCCTCCAGCAATGGGAGGAATTGAGGAAACGAGCAAGGCAGTTGGAAGCCGACGTGGATGGCAAACTGATAGCATATAATCGGATGAGCATTTCACAGGTGCACCTTATCTCTTCACCTCTTTTGATGTTTGTATGTATGAGTGTATTGACCATGAAGCAATGGATAGTTTCCCGTGCATGCAAATTGCTATCAAAAATTCCTTCCCTTCTCTTCTTATTGTGCGAATTCATTGATGCGCGCTGAAAACATGAGAGCAATTGAGTTCGATTTGAGCTAGCTATGTTCGATTTGAGCTTGCTATGTATCAATATTTAGTATACAGGATTCGCCTCTGGCTGCTGCTGCTGCTGCTGCTGACACGGAAAGGGATGCCTTGTTGCAGAATGGAGATTCTGTCTCGGCTTCTTTGGCTGCCGAGCTTGAGTCCCTTCTCTTGCAGGTCAGACGTCAACTTGTTACTTGCTGAAAGATCATGACTTGATTGTCTTTCTCACTCCATTTCAGTTGTCTGAAACTAATGATGGGATGGGACGATGCGTAAGTGATTGCCAGACTGGCGAAGGAGCTCGGATGTCAAATGTTCTACAACGTCACAGGGTATGAAATGGCTAAACGTTCGCTCGTAGTGCACTCAGATTTTCGCAAGGAACTCCTTCATGAGTACGAAAAGGAGTTTCGAAAGATCAAGGCTAATATCAAAGTAACGCAGAGCTCCTCGAATGTCGTCTGATGTGAAAACAGGAACAACGTGAAAGAGACGATCTTCTCCATAGCGTTCGACAGGATATAGGCGAATTTAGAACAGGTTTTCAGCTGCGATCGAATATTCATTTTTTGTTGACTGCCCTAGCTGCAAGCTCGCGGACAGATTCGCTGGTGCGCGAACGGGGAGCAACACAGCACAGGTGAGTTGAAGAGCTCAGGAGAGAGGTATCTGATTATCTTGCAGTTTAAGAACAGTCGACAAGATTCTTAGCGGGGCAGCAACAACCTACGATGCACTTCGGAGTCAGAGACAGTTCTACAAGTGAAAATCGAAACAGCACTCGACTCCGTCTAACTCTCTCGCAGCAACGTAGCCCTAAAGCTCTCCTCTTTCCGCTCCCGACTACCGACGATCGACTCGTTGATTGGTTAGTTGAAGCATCATATTTGCAAGAGACTGACACAACAAACTAGGTCGCATACAGCGTCGAAAGAAGATGGAGAGCATTATTCTTGCTGTGGTGATCTTTCCTGTCGCACAGTTATGCTCTGAACCTTTGTTCGTTTGGCTAACGACAGGTCATCGCATTCTGCGCGATTATTGTAATCTACTTCTCTATCCTTCGATAGAGGCTTGCAATGTCTTTGGAAAAATTAGTCTAGGGGCTACATGCATCTTGTTCACACAGAGACTAGAATATACCTTATTGGGGTAGAACTTGGGTAGCCTCGCAATGTGCTTATGATGCACTCGGATCTGCAGATGGTGGGAAAAGCGTGTCAGTCACTTGAGCGCACGGGGCCGTAAACTTCACCCTCGCAGACAAAGCTCGAATGCTGCAGTCGCTTCGGACGTATTCGCAAATGTCCCTAGCAATTGCTAATTGAGCCGACGGCAGGAAGCAAACAGTCGTACGTTATCGTCGTACGCCACTAGGAGAAGCGCTCCGTCGTTCGATTCCTGTCATCGTCATCACCCCCTGCCCAATCTTTGCAGAATTACACACAGCAGAGGCATAATTTCTCGCTGAGAACAAGGTGATCAAACGTCTGCGAAGAACATCAACGACAGGGAAATTACAAACCGTTCTTACCCGCCATGCATGATCTTGTATCCATCCTTTACACATTGATGAGACCGTATGATGCACTGTGCATGGTCGTGAGGTGCTTGCTTGGGTCTGGCACGAATGACACCTGAACTCCTTCTCTCAAACAAAATTTATGTGTGATGTCTTGACCAAATGTTTGTATGTGTGAACCTGGAACGGGTGGAACACATGAGACAATGACGAGGAAGGATAATAAGCCGCCAAGATAGAATGTGAAGAACTTCCATCAGAACTTCCATACCTCTAGGGTTGGGATGCACACCATGAGCCATAAAAGCATCCGAGTCAGTCGGATCAGACCAGAGTACCTTTTGAAACCGGGTCAGTTCTTTCATCGCTGGGTCCTTAGCCTCCCACTTGAGTAACAAATGCTGGTCCTTGAGCCTGTTTGCGTTACATCAATCAAGGAATAGAGTCAAATCTTGGAAAACCTCGTTTCTCAACGGCCGAGGGATGTCGTCAGCGAGGTTTTTCAATCCCCATGTTCCATCGCCTAGTCCTCCATGTAACGTGAGGATGCTATCTTCAATCAGAGCTGACAGAGGAAGCCAATCGAAGACTTCGTGTACCGAGTGATATACATTCTCTCCCTCCTGCTCCCCCAATGCGGTTATACAGGCTTGCCGAAAACCGACCTTGCCCATGAACTCATTTTGAGCTCGAAATTCGTGGTTTCCTCGAACAAGAAAAATCTTGAGAGGATAAAGAATCTTGAGAGCACAGAGAAGCACGACAACTTCGAGTTGATGGCATCCTCTATCCACCCAATCACCGTTGAAGATGTAAGCAGTGCTCTCAATGTCGCCCCCATAATGCGATGGGAAACCGAAACTACTTAGTAGCAACAACATGTCTCTGAGCTGCCCATGGAGATCCCCGATGACTTTGCAAGGTGCAGGTACATGCACGAGTGTCGGTTGCAAGGCAACGATGTTTTTACAAGCTCCCATAATGATCATGATGCGATCTGCTTGTCCTTCAATGGTGTCCTCCTTAAACATCCTGGACAGAAGGGAACCATTTCGCTCCCATTCTTCGTCTCCGATGTCTTCGGAGAGCCATCGCGTCTTCAGTGCCAGGTTTTGCATCCTTGAGACCACCCCAGAGGCAATCGAGTGCTCGATCGTCCCGCGAGGAGCAGCGATGTAGCCCCTCCAGTCTCCTTCGCTCTCCAAGGTTGGGTCGAGGAGGAACTCCTTGTTGACAGCGCTCGGACCAATCCACAGCGACGTGACATCAGGACAGTGAGTGTCATTGCTTGCTAGCACCTGGCGAGGATCCAACACAACCTTGGGAGGAAGCGCTTCAGAATCCGACTGTTGTCTGCTGTGGCTCCCCAGAAAACGCCTCGTACGAAGGCTCCGCGTTCTTAGGCCGACTGATTGCATCTTCCTTTTGTCTGAGATCAGCCGCAAGAATGCTTCCTCCGTGAGTTCCGAACACTCACCGAGCCCAATAGCATCCATGCACCAAATCACATGATCCTCTCCTCTACACATGTCACGCATGAATGCTGCAATCTCGTTCCTAGAAAGCCTGCCGTCTTGATCTTCATCGTAGAAATGAAACAAAGCCGAGCTTGCAATCAAACGAGTCTCTACATCGGCTCTCTCGTCCATCTTGCTAACCGCTTCCTTGACAAGTTCATAACGTTCAAATGCTGATCTCCTCATCACACCTGACGCACGATACCACGCCATACCCGCTCTCCTGTCCATCCCCAGCTCGTTCTTAGATGCTGAGAGAAAGCGTTCAAGTTGCTCTGACTCTGTCAACTTGGTCCACCCTCGCTCGCCGCCGTCGCCTCCCCTCGTCTCAGGCTCCGGCTGCCGACATGCTGCCCCATACAGCATGTCGGGCGCCCTGGCTTCAGGGTGGGACCTTCCTCTTTGCTCTATTTCCATCTTGCTGCCCTGGACCTTCCTAGGCACTTCCCAAAATATTGAGTAAACATACAAGTAACCGGCAAAGGCCCGCATCAGGCATCTTGGAGATGGTGACAGGAGCAGCGGCATGAGGGAAGGGGGAAGGAACAGCGAGGTAGCTGAAGGTTTAGAGGATAGACAGCGAAGAGATAGTTGAGGAGAGGGTTTAGAGGAGAGACAGCGAAGAGATAGTTGAGGAGAGGGTTTAGAGGAGAGACAGCGAGGAGATAGTTGAGGAGAGGGTTTAGAGGAGAGACAGCGAAGAGATAGTTGAGGAGAGGGTTTAGAGGAGAGACAGCGAAGAGATAGTTGAGGAGAGGGTCTACTAGACGTGGAATAGCAAAACTAGGATGATACGTTGATACCCTTGCCCGCTTCTGCGATCCATGGATGTGATTCTGTCTCAGTTTATTAAGGAAGACGAAATGAACATCGACGACCACGAGGAGCGAAATGATCATGAAACGGCCAACTCACAAGATGGTATCGAACAAGTGGTCATCTCCGACGACGAAGACAACGATGTCCAAATCTGCGTGCAAGAAGAAACAGCATATTTCAACGATTCTCGTTTTCAAGAAAAGGATAACAACAAGCAAGACAGAGGTTACGCACAGCATACATCAGAGCAGGTGGGTGCTCGAAACCTGAGCAGCAGCAACAGCGAACAAGAGCACGAGCCATCAAATCCTTCACAACATTCAAGCTTGCAAGCGCCAGATCAAGATGCCGCCGAAACTTACATGGATGACGACTGTGTTGGCGAGCCGTCGAAGAGCGAGGCCGACAGCGTTGCATCGCAGAGCTCTGGGTGGAGGAAGAGATCTCGAGAGGATGATTCTTCTGTCAACGAAGATCATTCGGTAAAGTGTCGACGGGATGACTCCTCCGCCAGGGCTGCGGCAGGGAGGACAAGCGAGGGAGCACACGAGGCATCGGGTGTTGAGCAGCTGGAAGATCCTTTGCCTGCAAAGGGGACTAACCAGGACACTATGCTTTATCGCCCATCGCCTGGATCAGACGCACAGCAGGAGCAAGTTGAAGCTCTTCTGCCCTTGCGGATCAGCGGCAACAAGTCACCTGGAGCATCGCAGCCGAGAGAATCTGGGTCTTCGGACCCCCTCGTAGGGCATCGCATCCAAGTGACGAGAGCAGCCGCAGATGTCCTGAAGCTCGTTGACTTGTCGCAGATTCTCGAAGACACGGCGCCCGATTGCTGGAGAAACGTCAAAGTAGCTTGTTGACATGTTTGAGAGCTCTGTGCCTGATCGCGATGACTTTCAGGTGTCTGCTTACTTCCTACAGACAGGTCTGCATGAGATAGAGTACCTCGATAGACCGGGTACACGAGTTGCTAAAGACTTATCAGATGTGAGCACGACGTGCTTGCTTTCAAAACTTCTAATCTAGTGACAGAAAATCATCAAATTTCTAGATGGAGGAGAATTTTATCAAAGAAAATCTCGAAGTCAAAAGACGACTGAAGTGCATGTAGAGATCAAACCAGAGAAAGCCGAGGAAGGGAGACAAGACTGTATTCCAGCTTGTGCAAGAAACCTCAAGAGAGCTGAAGACATCTTGCAAGAAAGAAGGAGATTGGTCCGTTGATCTTTGTGCTGCAAAAGAAAGTTGAGCCGGATGAAATGCCCAGATCAAAGAGTCATTGCACGGGTTGAAGGTGTCGTGCAAAAAGAGCAAAAAAGAGGTATGAAGGTTTGATTGTTATGACGATCGTTCTGATGATCCGAAGAATTCTTTTCAATGCGATCTCTTTGACTCTTTTCTGGGCAAGTGTGATAGTTGCCATTTGCAGGGCGAGATCGTGATGATCGATGATGACCTATTCATCAAATATACGGACAAGTGTATGACTATGACAGACTTCATTGGGGATCACGATGACGTTAAGTGAGTATGTTTGTTGACCGTTTGGCGTTCATTCATTTGCCTTTTTGCCACCTCTATTTCTTTCTTTTGATTGGTGCCGTGCAGCCCTCACACCAAGCTCATCGTCTCTGGATCAACCATGACCCTTGCGCATTACGAGACTCTCCTGTCCGGATACGGAAGATTAAAGGTGATCGGCATTTTCACTGTTGTTACACAAATTCCTTCTCTCCTCATCCATTTCGATTTGTACACCTCTGCCCCCCTCTCTTGCTCTCCTGTTGTTTTCCTCGTCTCCTTCCCCCGATCTGCGGCTTCACGTGCTACCTCTACGATTATCTTCTCGCCTCGGTGCCCCTGTTCTCCTCTGCTCAGTCCGACGATGTCAATACAGCTGACCAACGGGCGGCGCGTGAGAGCGAAATTTGATGAGTATGACTGGTATGGGGGCGTGATAGTCGGCTACGACAGCACCACATCCAAGTGATTTTCTTCTGCCTCCCATTCCCCAATAATCTGTGACGAGCTCCACAGCTACGAGGTTCGTTTCGATGACGGTGAACAGATTCAGCTGCGGCACATGATCTTTGACAATGACGGCTTCTTCCTCGATGACGTCACGTTCTCTCTCCGTTGGTCGACTGATGCTGACGAGCCCAATAGGCGCGAGACTGCGGAGTCAAATTTCTCTCGCGGGGAAGCAGTCAGGATCTTCACCAACACTCTGACATATTTGAGGGGGGGAGCAGGTAAAGCTGTATCCTCCTCCTCCTCCTCCTCCTCCTCCTCCTCCTCCTCCTTCTCACTTCTCAATTTTCCAAAGCCGTTTAGATCGCATCTCGTCGGAAGCACTGGGAGACAATAGACAGCATTTGTAAGCCCCTACCCATATTCCTGCCCCTGTCCTGCTGCTACCCCTGCGCAACGCATTTCTCGCAGCGCCTTCTCTTCGATCTCTGTTGTTGCTCTTTGACGTGTTCCGGTCCTTGGGCAAAGATCGCCTCGGGATGACCAGGTCAAGAAGCGAGGAAGGTTCTCTCTTAGCTGTTTGTCAGCTGCTCATGCTGATTACAAACCTGAAGGAAGAAGAGAAGTAAAGAACAAGATAGACATCGAGAGCTCCGGGGGGAGGACGAGCGAATGTTTCATGCTGCCCCTTCTGCATCCCTGGGAGGGAGACATGTGAGTAGAGTCCAGCTCGGCACCACCTCTGCTCTTCACTTCTCACCCGTCTGACCGGATCGACAGGGCAAGGGCAAGAGAACATCAGACCTCGGAGTGTCGAGGAGGAGATGGATGACCCCTCTGCGGAATCAGCGAATAGGGGGTAGTTGGATGGCGGGCAGAAGGATGCGAATGTTCTGCTTCGAGGTGTCAGACTAGCCGGGGAGCTGCTGGGGCTGACGGTACAGCAGGATCTCTGCTGGAAGGAAGGAAAGGTTGTCGCATGTGAGCCCGACGGCCGGCACGAGATTGAGTTTGCGGTGAGGTGAGGAGGAGCGAGGGTTGTGGGTAATGAGCATCTGTACTCAGCTGGAGACGAAGACGCAAACCAGGCAGCTGGGACCTGAGTTCTGGCAGTTTGACTCCGAAGAAGGAATGCCAGCGCGGCAAGACAGCAAAGTAATCAAAATACTGTTTAGTTCCTTACTAGAAGATGCGATGACAAGGATGTAGCAAACAAACATGCTTACTCTCAGCCAAATTACTGATGTTTCTTTGATTTATTGGCTACTCATCTGACATACCTTTAGCAGGAGGCGATGAATGAAGAATGCCACAATGCTCTTCTGAAACTTCTTGGCCGATTGACGCGCCAGGAAACTGCTGATCCTTTCTTGGAACCAGTGGACCCTGTTGAGATGGGAATATTAGGTGAGGAGAGTGGAGCACAGAGGGACAAGGAAAAGAGGAGGAGAAGAGGCTTAGACTCCCAACAGATTACTTCAACGTTGTCAAGAGCCCGATGGATCTGGGGACCATTGACTCAAATCTTGAGCACAATCTCTATTCGTCTCCTCTCGAGGTTGCTGCTTTCTCTCACTCGATGTGATCGTTGACCATGCCATACAGGTACTTGAAGATGTCCTTCACATGCTGGACAATGCTGTGCTCTACAACAAGCCTGGAGATGCCGTAGTGAAGCAAGCGGCGGCAATGAAGACAAAATTCATATCTCTCGTGAATGGCTCAGAGGTTCGACTTGAATCGTCGCCCTCCTCTCATCTTCTCTTCTCTCGCACCCTGGCCTCCATGAGTTGCTGAGAACGTCGCAAGGTTTTAAAGTCTCTCAAGTGGGAGAGAGCGAATGAGGAGGCGAACTTGGTCGCGTCCACGCAGAAGCTCAAGAGGTCCAGGGCCTCAGGCAAGAAGTCTTCTGCTCGTACAGGTGCACCCTCCTGCTCCTTGCCCAGCTCTTGACTGTCCTGTAAAGCGGCGCCCAGTGGCGTCCATGAGCCGCAGTGGCAGACGCCGCATGGCGAGTGGCTCAAGGACGGCAGGTGGCTGGTCGGCCGGAGAATTCGGGTCAGTCAGTGGTGACGAGGGGGGAGGGAGGAGAAACTTTTGAGCGTGCAGAGTAGAAGAGCGAGAGAGCGGGGGGGGGAAGAGGCAGGAGAGAATGACGGGAGCTGACAGGTGTATTGGGATGACGATGAGAAATGGTATGAAGGCATAGTCAAGTCATACGACAAGAGCCTCAATGCTAGTGATAGGTACCTCTCTTATCCTTACCCACTCTCTTGCCAGAACCCCTCCCTCTCCCTCTTTCTCCCTATAACCACACACCTTCCCCCCACACTCTCACACCTCCGCCCCATCCCCTCCCCTTCTGCCTCCTCCTCTTCGTACCTTGTGTCGTTGCGTTGCGTTTCCGCACTTTTGACGCCTCCTACAGCCATGGGCACATTGGACCCGTGCACGAAGTCTCATACGAGGACGGGACGTACCTGGAGAACCTGCGAACGGCAAGCTGGCAGATCGATCTGAGCGAGGGGGAGGCAGGAAGGTGTGCGACGACTAGAGCAGAACTAGAGCAGAACTCACTTGAACTTCAGCCCCATCAGCATCCTGAGGATGAACATGAGCCCCTCCTGCCCGCAGCCTCAGGCCTCCTCTCCATCTCTCCTTCGCTCGTTGCTGACGTGGCAGGCAGGCTATCGTAGGAGTCAAGCAGGATGTATCCTCGTCGTCTCCCAGGAAGGATCTTCAGTTCGCCATCCTCTTCGACAACCGGGAGGTAGAGGGACAGCGTCTTCAAGGCAGGAAGTGACTCGACTGCTCAGATGCGATGGGTGGGGAATCTCACGCTGGATCAGAAGTTCAAGTGAGGAGGAGGAGCAGTCTACCCGACCAGACTGAGGTGCTCTGACAGGGACCTGCTCCTCTCGTTTCTGCGCACAGCCTTTCCTGACGGCTTCTTCCTCCACCCATGGATGAACGATCTCAAGGAGCACGTGACGGAAGAAGGCTGAGCTGCTGCTTGTGATTGTCCTGTGCAGATGTGGCGATGGGGTTATAAGGAGAAGGAGTTGAGCTGCGAGAAGAGTGCGCCCACCAGCGACAACCTCGTCAAGCGCGTCAACGCGGTGCAGGTAGAGAGCTGCAGGATGCAGAGGCTGTGGAGCTGAGCGCGGCTTGAACACGTATAGGTTGAGCATGGGAAGACAAGGTATCGCTATCAACTCAAGGGAGGAGGAAACCGCTGGGAGGTGAAGGATGTGTGCCGCACGCGAGCCTGAAAATGACGAGAAAACTAGGACATCGGAGAGGATACGCCTCCTCTGCTGCACAAGAAAGCTGCTCTCTTCCTCCTCAACGGCCTTGGCGTTGTCTCTGTCTTCCTGGGGCGCGACAAGCACGCCCACCTGCTCCACCACCTCAACGTCTACTCAGAGTTCGCGCGAGGATGGGACGAGCGATGTAGAGAGTACGAAGCTGCGGCCGCCGAGCAGGGGCCGCAAGTCAGTCAGGAGCCTGGAATGAGCGAGTCTGCACTGCACGCTTCTCCTTAGCCGCTTGTAACACTTAAGTCGTATGTGAATGTCTCCCGCTCCTTCTCCGTCCCCTGCCTTGTCTCTCTCGTTGGCTCGACCTGCATGTCCACCGACTCAGCGAGTCCGAGCAGTCACTGGCACTCAGTCAAGGCTTGAAGCGCGGCTCAGCTGTGGCTCAGCAGGTGGCTCAGCAGGTGGCTCAGCAGGTGGCTCGGCTCAGCTGTCGGCTCAGCCTCAGTCTGCCTTCGGAGGGGGATGAGGGCACCAGAATATGATGGGGAACATACAAACAAGATTCGAGAGAAAATGAGGGAGAGGGAGAGGGAGAGGGAGAGGGAGCGAGGGAGCGAGGGAGCGAGGGAGCGAGGGAGCGAGGGAGCGAGGGAGCGAGGGAGCGAGGGAGCGAGGGAGCGAGGGAGCGAGGGAGCGAGGGAGCGAGGGAGCGAGGGAGCGAGGGAGGGAGCATGAGGTACAGAGGCTTTGCCTTACTAAATGAATATATCACCAGGTGAGAGGAGCGTGAGAGACTTTGAGCAGGCTGGAGGTTGTTGGGTATCGTTCATGGAGAGGTCGAGTATGGCGAGACCACAGTCGCGTCGGCTTCTCTTCGTCCTATCGCTGCTGAGCTCTAGCTCGACTTCATGCAACGCGTTTCAGATCATCAGCTTTCATGCCACCCCAACCAAGGCTGTCAGCATCTCCCATAGATCGGTGTGTGCTTCAAGGCATGGAAGAATGATTGACATGCTCATCTCAGAATCCTCTGCATGCCCCTCTTGCTCCCTCCTCTCACCTTCCCCTTCTCTCCCCCCCATGGATGCATCGAAGACGCTCGACCCTTCGCTCTTCCAACTCCGATAGCTCACCCCCGGACATCAGTCGCTCTGATGGTGGCGAGGAGCGAGCGGTAAGAGCGTCGGCCTCGTCCTTCCCTCATGCTCCTCCAGCTCGTAGACCTCGGGAGATCCGCGGCCAAGCGCTTCAAAGGCTTTCCCGAGGATGAGGCTATCTTGAACCAGCGATCCGTGATCCCGGTATGTTTGATCCAGAGCAGAGGAAGGGGCAGAGGCAGGAAGACGCGTTTGTGCGAGTGAAGGTCTGCTCACACGGGTGGTAGGATGTTGCTCCCATGTTGGCTACTGTGTCAGTCTTCCTCGCCGCCATCTTCGCATTGTGCAGCTCCCAAGCCGTTCCAGGTGAAAGAGAGGAGGAGAGGAGGAAGGTGACTAGACCGCAGCCTCTCTCCCGCTCGTCCTCACCTTCGTCGTCGGCTACTTGTCCATCATCTTCGAGGAGACGCTCGACGTCAACAAGAGCGCCATTGCCATCGCCATGGGGTCTTGACGTGCGTGAGTTGCTGGCTAGTGACGCGAACACCAGGATGATGTGCTGGTGCCTTGTGGGGCACGCGACAGGCCTCGGCAGCGAGCAGGTAAAGGAGGAAAGTGGTGGAAATGAGAGAAGAACGAGAGGAAACAGAAGAGACAAACGATGATGATGACCTGTGTGATGATGATTTGGATGCCTGCAAGTGAAGCTGAGGTGTTGAGTTGACATTGTGTTGAGGTTTTGAAAGCTCTTTCGGAATCATTCAGCGGCGTCAGTCAGATTGTTTTCTTCCTCATCGGTCGCTTCTTTGTTCCTTTCCTCTTCCATTCTCGTCGCCCTCCATTATGCCATGAAGTTTTCTTCTCTGCTCTCCTTCTCTTCTCCTTTCGCTTGTTCTGATATTGCGTTTGAACAGGAGCAATGACGATCGTAGAGACAATTGATGCGCACAAAGGTTCCATGCAGTCCCCCCACCTCCTCTCTCCTCTTCTTCTCTTACTTGCCTTCTCTAATCTCCTCTACGCTCAAATACTCTCCGCCTCGTCTCGTCTTCTTTCCTCCTTCTCTCCTCTCCCTCCGCCTGTTTGTTCTTCTCTGCTCAGCGCCCGATCAGGTTTCTCCATCGTTACCGAGAAGATTCAAACCAACGACAAGCGCCTCCTTGCTGTGATTGTTTCTTTCGTCACATTCTTCATGAGCTCAGGTGACAACAACGATTCCGACCTCATCACATCCATCTCTCCACCTCCATCTCCATCTCCATCTCCATCTCCATCTCCATCTCCATCTCCATCTCCATCTCCATCTACATCACAATATTGTTCGTTTCACTTTCTTCTCCTCAACCCAATCGTTCTGCTCATAGTATTTTCTCCATTCTTTGATTGCTGATCCTCTTGTTCTTTATCATTCACATCAACTTCTCCTTTCTCTCCATGTACACTCTGATGTTTATCCCATCTGCCTTCAGTCCTTGACAACCTCACGACCACAATCGTCATGTGCTCTGTCCTCGGAAAACTCCTTCCTCCCAACGAGAAGGTCAGCAACAGACGTCCTTCCGTTCCTCCTCCTCACCTTCACCAGGAGACTCGTCGGCTTCTCGGAGGTCTTGCTGTGATCGCAGCAAATGCAGGAGGAGCATGTAAAGCTTTCCTCCCCTGCTCGTCTCTAACCTACCTCTTCCTTCCCCCTCCTCACTCTCCGCCTGCTCCTGCTATCATAGTAATCTTCTTCTTCCTGCCCCTGCTTTATTTCCTTGTTCTGTTCCTCTTCCTTCTTCACCTCTCTTCTCTCTTCTCTCTTCTCTCTTCTCTCTTCTCTCTTCTCTCTTCTCTCTTCTCAAGTGACGCTTCTGAAGCCGAACAACGGCAGTATCTCTGCGAGTATGGGCGTCTCTGGACGACGCCGACGA